AGTGAACTTTACCTTGCAGTATCTCGTACCATCGGCAATATTAGTGCCGGGCCACATTCTCCTTTTAATCGGTGATACTGCTGATGCTCCCCACATTTGTAGTTTTGTTTGGATGTCCATGTCCGGGATATATGCAGGCAGATTCAGAAAAGAAACCACCAGCTCGTCGTTCGAAAGTTCTCTCGCCCACACATTCACTGCTCCGATCTTTAGACCCTCCACAAGTCTCTCTGCCTTTTTCATGGTTCATTGTAATTTCATATTTCCTCTCCCCGACATATCTGCATGCTACCACTGCCCCACACGCCAGTCTCACCGCCCTCAAAAGCTCCGTCACCGTCACTCTCTCCTGTCCCTCCAGCTCCAGCATCACTGTTAACTCCTTGCAATAATTCATTTCTAGACCGTCAATCTTCTTTTCTTTATGCAGATTCCTTTTTCCATCTCCTGCACTGTCCGTTGTCGATACCGTGGGTTTTTCTCTGCCATTTTCCATGTTTTTAACCGAGTTATCCATCCTGTGAGTCAGCGTTTGTGTGCTGGCTCCGCAGCACACCGAATGCCACGTCACCCAAAAGAGGATCAAATCCTCTCCCCAGGCAGAAAGAAAACCTTGCCAGGGGTACAACGCATCGCAATATCTACCTACCACTATTAACGATCAGACTTCTAACTTACCTATGATAACTTTTTTTTCCACTTTTTTCCTCACCGTTCTCAGACTCAAACTACCGTGTTAATGCACCAAAAATGGGCGTGTTCAGGGTGGTATGGCCGTAAGCCATGACACAGGCTCCAAATGAGCTATTTGAACGTGCTCCTGTGTGGTTCTCTCAATTATAATCAGCATTTCACTCTCAATGAACAATGCGTCGCTCAAGAAAACACCCGGATACGCAGTCAAGCTTAGTTTTACAGCCTTAGTTTTACAAAGAGTCCACTCTGTCTGCTGTTCCTGCTCCCTCTGCTTCAACCACAGTCTGATTCCTGATTGTCCACAGGTGTGCGTGTTCAGGGTGGTATGGCTGTAAGCGATGACACAGGCTCCAAATGAGCTATTTGAACATGCTTCTGTGTGGTTGGATACGCAGTCAAGCTTAGTTTTACAGCCTATCTCTGCAGTCCATCATGCTCCACTCCTATGCTCCACTTTATGACAAGATCTCAGTCTTCCCGCTCTTTGTGCTTTTTTGACTTTTTCTTTCATTTATCTTGAAGGCTCATCTTCAAGTGTATTTGCATTGGTCCAAGCTAAAGACCAGGCTCCCCAAAGACCCATATCCTAGCCTCTTGGAGAGAGAACACGGCACAAGATACAAGAAAAGAAAAGCTTTCAGCACCTGGCATTCCCAGGCGGTCTCCCATCCAAGTACTAACCAGGCCCGACCCTGCTTAGCTTCCGAGATCGGACGAGATCGGGCGTGTTTTTTTTTAATTTATTTACAAGCTCAGTCAGTACAATTGACATATATCGATCATTTTAGATATATGTGTATATATACATATATATTCACATACATACACATTCCGGCATCCATGTTCGTATTCATATACATATGTGCACATCAGTGCATTTGCATACATAACAAAACAACAACACCAACAACAACAAAAAAAATAAATAAAAAAATTTTTAAAAAGTCGGACCTCATTTTATTCAAAATTAAATTCTAGGTAATCACCTTTCCGCTCGATGAATTTGCTGCCTTCTATGAAGCGTTTGTTAAACTCATCTTTTTCTACATAATGAAACAGGGTGTTTATGTGGCGTAATGGAGGGGGGGAGAGATTAAGTATTTTGTTGCCGAACAACACCACCTGGGGAGTTTCACCCCAGGAAATACAACAGACCCTCTCACTAAAGGTCACACAGATTCGTTACACCAAGCAGAGGACGAGAGACAGACTTCCAAAAAGAATTACACGATTTTATTGATTAAAACTCTGTTTTTAAAAGAGCACAATTTGAAGGATAATCGTATGAGTACCAATAAACAATAAATGCAGTAAATAAACAAAAGCAGGAACAAGGAGACTTGGTCACAAACAGACTAACCTAAAAGGAGAAAAAAAAATTCAAAACCAAAGAAACCCACTGCAAACCAAAAGAAATCACTACAAACCAAAAAAAAAAATCACTACAAACCAAACACCACGTGCCACCACCGGGGAAGTCTGTTCCAAGCTCCTGAAAAAGAAAGAAGAAATCAATGATATGGTTGATCACTCAAAAAGCATAGAGTTCTGTTAAGAATTGATTAAATGACCTATTCTAAAAAAACACACACACACATACAGCACACTCGTACGCACACACACACAACCACAAAAAAAGAATAAACCTAATTTAATTGGGTAATAAACTAAATGGCAAACGAAATCCCGGATATAACTATGCAAAATATTAACAAAAAAAGGAAAAAAAAAAACTAGAAACTTCCGTCAAGTAACAACCAAACCCAAACTAAACAATATAAACAGTTTCAACCGATAAATAAATAAACCAAAGAAAAGAAATAATCAAACTCAAGAATAGGTTGTGTTGGGCGAAAACCAGTTCTTTGCGCAGTATGGGACTTCAAAGAAGCAGCAGAGAAACGGAGCGGCCGCACCGGGGCTGGAGGCCTGGGGAAGCCGTCTTTGTGCCCCGCTGGCGACCAAGTAGTGCGCAGAAGTAGAGCCTCGCACAGAGCGCAGAGGAGAGGAGAGCCACGATCTGTGGCTTCAGCAGCCGAGCGAAGTAAGCTTTTACGCTCGGCCAAACCAGTCACCGTCTTTTGATGATAAAAAGAGCCAACACCACACTCGAAGCACCTCTACCTCCACGCCAGCAGCAGACCACGCTTTTCTGTCCCACAATGATCGAACCCAATGACCAGCGGACAATCACACAGCCCGTCGAGTGAACGTCAGGTAGCACTGGGTTGAATGAGAGGACAGAACTTCGGCTCTGCTGACAGTGAGTACAGCAGAGCCGATAGCCGGCATCCTTGTCTAACTGATCTCTCTAATCTAAATGTGCTCGTGACTATCCCATTAACTTTAACGCAACTAACTGCTTTATCATACATTCTCCTTATCCATCCTACCATCCTATGCCCAAAACCTACTCTAACACCCTGTACAGATAATTGTGGTTTACTCTATCAAAAGCCTTATTTAAGTCTAAACTTAATACTATCCCCCTCTTCTCCCTCTTCATATAATCTATTGTGTCCCTGATGCTGCTTATTGTGTCTGCTATGTCTCTTCCTGGTATGCTATATGCCTGTGTGCCCCCCACCACCGTCCCTATAACTCTCTTCATCCTAGCTGCTAGCACCCTGGCTAATATTTTATAATCACTATTTAACATGCTGAGTGGCCTGTAGTTTTCTACTGTTTCCCCTCAAAAAGTCCTTTAAAAAAGGGTATACAAACTAAAATGAGCTCCCAAGTAAGGTCCTTTTTCTGCTGCTTCTGCTGCTGCTGCTGCTGCTGCTGCTGCTACTGCTAATCACCACTGATTGCACACAGGTGTTCAGGGTGGTATGGCCGTAAGCCATGACACAGGCTCCAAATGAGCTATTTGAACATGCTTCTGTGTGGTTCTCTCAATTATAATCAGCATTTCACTTTCAATCAACAATGCGTCGCTCAAGAAAACACCCGGATAAGCAGTCAAGCTTAGTTTTACAGCCTATCTCTGCAGTCCATCATGCACCACTCCTTTGCTCCGCTTCATGAGAAGATCTCAGTCCTCCCGCTCTTTGTGCTTATTTGACTTTTTCTTTCATTTATCTTGAAGGCTCATCTCCAAGTGTATTTGCATTGGTCCAAGCTAAAGACCAGGCTCCCCAAAGACCCATATCCTAGCCTCTTGGAGAGAGAACACGGCACAAGATATAAGAAAAGAAAAGCTTACAGCACCTGGTATTCCCAGGCAAACTCTCCTCCAAGTCCTTATCCGATCCTCAAATTGACCAATGGTTGAGCGACGTTGAGCAGTCAGCGACCAATGGTTGAGCGACGTTGAGCAGGTCGAGCAGTCTCAGCGTCCAATCATTGAGCAGCAGCCGGTCTGTCAGTCACTGCTAGTGTTTCACAGACAGTGATTGATAGCCCGCACTGACTGAACACGAACGGACAAGTTAACCTTTCGGATCTCCATCTCTTCTGACTTTTTACAACTACAGGTAAGTTTATCAAGGGAGCATGTGTGGGAAGTGTTTTTTGAAGCACTTTTCCGGCCGTGGTACTGCTACGAAGTTAACGTACCTCTTTCGTGAACAGCGGCCTGTGTCGCCCACAGCGGATTGACTGAACACGAACGGACAAGTTAACCTCTCGGATCTCCATCTCTTTTGACTTTTTACGACTACAGGTAAATTTATCAAGGGAGCATGTGTGGGAAGTATTTTATGAAGCACTTTTCCGGCCGTGGTACTGCTACAAAGTTAACGTACCTCTTTCGTGAACAGCGGCCTGTGTCGCCCACAGCGGATGAGTATGCGCGAGCTACTGGAGTAAGCTAGTAGCACCGCCACGGCAAACTAACAGGGAAACACTACTGAGAAATACAGAAAAAAACTACATTGAAAAACAGACCAACCACTTTCGTAGTTTTCTTTCTGGCTGCATAAATATTTTCTGACCGCGTCACAAGAACACAGTGTCTGTGTGTGCAGTGTCATGTACAGGGGTTGAAACTTTCAGTGTCATCATGTACATTAAATTGCACCTAGTTTATTATTCTTGTTTCTTAACAGGGTTATGTGATACTGGTCAATCTAAGACTGTTTAAATCCAAGAGTTTTAACAATTATAGTTAGCCATTTGAGTCGAATCTACTAAATGAAATCTGGTCATCTCTTAGGACAAGAATACACATGGTTTTGGCAAAATAGGCTGTTTAAAAATCATACTACGTTGCTTTTAGGCAAATAGGACTGACATAATTATCAATCTTTTCATCATAATACATTATGACTGATATTTCTTCACATTTCACTTCACCAGGTATGGACAGAGTAAATAAGTGCAGTGTATGTGACAAGGTCTTCACGGAAAAGTCCAACCTTACACGCCACATGAAAATCCATGCACCAAAGGAGAACCAGTGTGATGTTTGTGGAAAAAGCTTCACAACCAAACCCCAGCTGAACAACCACATCAAGCTGCATCAGTATCCAAGCATCCCTCTGTACAGGCAGGGAGAGGCCAGGCTGCAGTGTACTGATGCAGCCAGGGCTGTCACAGAGGCTCCGAGGAAAGTTGTAGACCCTACCTGGCTGGATCCCGTGAAGGCGGAGGCTGCTGCAAAGACACTTGGTGGGGAAATGTGGAAAGGGCAGTTAGTTCTGACCTGGGGGAAGTATGCTGGACAGTCCTTTAGATGGCTCCTGGAAAACGATGTTGGCTGGGTCGTGTGGCTGCTTGCCGAGTACTGCAAGAAAGGTGAAAAAGCTGAGCTTCTACAGTGGCAAAAGGAGCGAATGTTGGAGTATGCGAGACAATTCCCCTCTGTAACATGTCATCTTGAGAAGCGGTTGGGGGTAAGATGACTCTTTTCATTCCTTATACTTAGAAATGGATGATATTTTGAATAATCAGTGCTGAAGTAATACCAGATGTATATATCACTGTAGGTAAGAGGCTCATAGAAGTAAACTGGAATCTGTTTTTTTTTTTTTTTTTCATATTTAATTTTCAGAAACAGACGTCACAAAAAGCCGACTCAGAGCTTCACCAGGACCTTAGCTGTGCAACCGATGCTGAGTTATTGGCTGTTGCAGGTAAACTTATGCTGGAGAGGATTGAAATGACCTCAGTAGGATTATTTTGGTAAAATATGGTTATCCAGGTAAAATACAGGATGTTTATTAGTAGGCAGCAGAAAACAATCAAATGCATATCTTTTTGGTAAAATATGGTTATCCAGGTAAAATACAGGATGTTTATTAGTAGGCAGCAGAAAACAATCAAATGCATATCTTTTTCTGTGATGTCTATCTTCATCAGAATCTTACCTTGACACGTCAGAGGTGGCAGTCTCCACAAAGCTCACCACCTGGGGAGAGCTTACTCCAGCTGTGTGTCAGGACACGAGGCCTGAAACTTCATGCCCAGCACCAACATCTGCCTCTGATTCTGGCATCATTTTGGAGGGTTGGCAGAAGTACTGGGAGAACCCACCTGCAGCTTCCCAAGCCCTCGGAATAGCCCTCCCAAACATCAAGTGGCTTAAATCTAATGAGACATTTGGCCTCTTTGAAAGGGCCTCAAAATACAAAAATGCCAAAGGAGAGATAGTGGAGAGGAAGCTTCTTAAGGACAGAATGGAGTTCCACCCACCCCCACCTCCCGTCTCGGTTAAGGGAGGAGTGCCAAACATGCTGGCCTTCTTTACCACCCCGGCCTTCTTCTGGCGGCCAGTTGGTGTGATGCAAGCCATGATCCGCTGCCCAAACGCTAATTGTCCTGCACCTCTAGGGGAGTACCTGCAGAAAAAAGGATTCGGTAGCTACGCAAGGCAAGTCTGTGGTGTCCAGTACAACTACACTCTGTTGACAGAGAAGCTCATCTGCCCACATTGCCAGAAGACCAGGCAGGCACAGGGAGATGCTGAAGATGAGGATGAGGATGGACACATGCAATACACATGACTGGCATACAGTCCCAGCATTCTGATGAACCTTGCCCCAGCCATCAGAAGCATGTTCCCTGCCATACTCTGTGGAAAGCGAGCCATCGACAGGGGAGTGGTGACGTTGCTGAGCGACCGACTCAACGCTGTCTCCATGACAAAGGTGCAGAGACTGTTGCAGCAGGGCCACAGTGTGTGGTATGTGGAGCGGCGTGACCTCTACCAGAATCTCCTCTATGAGGCCCACACAGCTGGATCCACATCATCTCAAAGGGGCATCCTGTCCATGGTGAAAGCTGCTGGCACTTACACCCCGCCCATTCCACAGTCTCCCCTTCCATCTGCTCGTGTGCTGCGGCGAGCTCACCTTATCATGGAGATTGAGAAGATGCCAGTGTACAGAAGCCAGATCCTCTGTGTAACCGGAGAAATCCTCTGTATTGATGGTACTAGGAAGGTATGTATACAGTATCATTCTGGTCAGTGTTTTGTTTTGTCATGTCATGCCCATGTATGTTAATTGTCAATAATAACTTCCGTTCATCATAGAAATGATATAATTAGCAGACAGATTGTTATACACCAAACAATGTATGCTCTGTTTCTTATGTTTACAGGTCCTCAAGAAGATCTACGGTGGTGGTCAGGGCACCATGCAGTACGTCACCAGCGTACTGAATGAATGGGGACAGTTTCTGACAACAGTAGTGGTGGCAGCCGAGTCTGAGGGATGTTACCAGCGTATGGCCAGAGGACTGATTGCCCGGTTTGAGTGTGCCAATGCCCCTGCTCCCAAGGTCATCTATGCAGACAACAACTGTTGCCGGTAACCACCATAATAACCATTCCATTAGGACCCTAATAATTTTATCATTTAATTTAAATATGAGTCAGTTAACATTGAATAAAATTTACATTGACATTGCATATTTTATTTAAAACACACAACTCCTAACACACTGATATTATTTCAGTGACAGTGGTTCATCCTTCCTGGAGAATCTGTTCAGTGAGTGGGTGCAGAGAGGCACTGTGGTCAGACTGGACATCCGACACTGGCTGCATCGCTGGGATGCTGTTGTTATCAAGCAGAGCCATGCCAAGTATGGAGCGTTCATGAGTGCCCTGGCAGGTGCTGTGCTCGCCTACAACAAGGGAGATATGATGCTCTTAGTCCAGGCAGTCAGGAGTGGCAACCAGGAGCTCTACGCCAAGTACTCGGACGAGGAGATGATTGGCTTCCTCAAGCCTCATCAGATCCGGGCTTATGTCAGGCGCATCACTCGAGGGGTTGACGTCAGTGTTAAAATAACCCTATTATGCATTTCCTTGTTGTTTGAAAATTTAATTTAAGTTCACTAACCATATTTCACTGAAAATGGGATATGCTTGTTACAGGAGACAGCTTCAGTGACCGAGTCCATCATTGCTGAGTTCAAGGGACCAGCAGGGCTTGACATTGATGGAATCCACCTCTTCAAGTCATCAGAGGCAGTTGATGCTCACTGGGCCACAGCAAGCAAGCATCTTGGTTGCATGCAGGTTCGTTAACTGACAGCGGAACAGTAATAATATAATGATAATAATAATTATAATACCTATCAATGCAGGGCTTAGTACCTTTTAACCTCAAGCCTTAAAAAAAAAATCTTCTACCGTTTTTGAGCCATATAGCTTTTTAAAATGGTAATGACATCCGTCCAACCCGATTCACAAGATGAAGCTACACAGAGTATAGGAGTAAATGTTTAAATAGCAGGTAGATAGTTAAAATGAATTAAATCAATTAGATTAATAAACAACAAATGAAGCACAATATTCTTAGGTAACTCTTTGGCAAACTATCGGATGCCATGCTACATTTTTTGACCATGCATTTATTCAAAAACATTGGATAGGCATATTAGGCAGAGAGATATTTCAAACCATAGAATGCAGTGTCCATGATTCAACCTTTTACAATCTCCATTTACACAACAGGTAGAGGTAGTTCCTGCCACCCATATAGAAGCAGCAGACCTTGTTAAATTGAAATAACTACAGTAAATCAGGTTAAAACAGCATTTGATGTATTTTTTCTTTTTCTTTCTTTTATTTTATTTGTCTATGCCAAGCGTTTACTGTAGTGGCTTCTCACCTAGCCATTTCTATTGAATATATTCAAGAAAAAAGCAAAAAAGGATTCATTAATCATGTAATCATGTAATACATTGTGTTGCAGATTTTATGAAATTACATCATGTTGTATGTATGTATCTCATTTAAATGATATTGCAGGTGTACCTGGTTGCGTTTGCTGTGCAGTGGAACAACCGCATGGATTCCCTCCGGGTTGCTGGTGGTCAGGGACGGAAGACGTCATGTATGGATGCACGGCAGATCCAGCGCATGAATCAGCAGGCTGAGGTCCTATTCGGCAAGGAACACCTCCTTGAGACCAACTTTGCTGCCCCCATGCCTGACTCTGCAGATCCAGATGAGGGGGAGCTCCTCGGTGTGGAGTATGCCATGTGCCAGTCCACCAACTTCATGGCAAAGAGCTACTATGCAAAGATTGGTACAGTACAAAATCTCATACTTTGACAACTATCCATTATAATATTATTATATAACTATTATACAGAAACCGAGGATATTTTTTAGCCTTATTCTTGCCAATTTGGTCCACTGGGTATTATGAAACCGAAACTAGAGCTATAATTGGCAAATAGGCCTATGAATATAGTGAGTGTTTTAACAACCTTAGCACATTGTAATGATGTATTTTTATGTGTTTGCAGCTGAGGAAGAGCAGTCTCGTGAAGAGGAAGATGATGAGGAGACAGCTGAACAAGGTGAAGAGGAGACGGAAGATGAGGGTGTTGAGATGTCTGCAGAGTCAGAGGACGACCCTATCGACAGCGTGTCGAGGGAACACACCCTCCTTATCCAAGGAGAACAGGTGAAGGAGGAGGACAGTCCTGCTCTGCAGGATGTACTCATGACCCAGCGGCATCTGCATCTGCCAGGGATAGAGGAAGTGGAGAGATTGGCGTTGCTGCTTCTGATCCTGGCAGATAACAGTGATCAACACCTTGTGCCAGCCGACCTCAGACAAAAGATTATTGCTGCTGCCAGCTCCCTTCATGAGCATGACAAGACAGTCTCCAACTTTGTCAAGAAGTACGAGTCCAGGTGGGGCTACACCCTGTTCGGCCGTTGCCTTGGAGCCGACTCACCTGAGACCAGTGCGGCTCAGAAGACAAAGTTTGGGTGGATGAGGTACCCTCAGGCAGCACAGGTGACAGAGGATAGCCGCCTGTTGTACCTCATCATCAAGATGCTGAAAAATCGACCGCCGGCCAGTCAGCTCGCCTCTCCCAGCAAGGTGATCACCTGCTTAAAGGGGCAGTATAAAAGGATTGCTGACCGAGTGAGAGACGATCCCATTCTTGCCAATCTCTCTATCCCTCTGCCCAACATCAATAATAAGTCCATCTCCAACTTCATCTCAAGAGAGGAGAAGAAGGCCAACTACATGGCAACTGTGTTGCCCAAAACAAAGCCCCACAAGGCAGTGCTGTCGGATCAACCAGTACCCGAAGCTCCTGACCTACCCTCAATCCTACCACAACCAGATCGACCTCAAGTGCAGTATCAGCACCCTCGTCATGTCACTGGGAGAAGACGTGGTGAGAAGCGACGGTAAGATGTTTACATCTTTACAGACATTAAATTATTTGAGTAAGCTGTTTTCCTGATTAAAAATAAAATATTAAGCACTGACACAGATAACTGGACTTACGTCTGTTGAAAAGAACATAGATAGACTGTCCCATTGTTAGCAGATTTACCATTCTGTTGATGTTTTTGTTATAGTTTCACTCAAACCACAACATATCTAGTTGGGCTTAAGTGACCTTAAAGTACAATTAATCACTAATTATATTTTAATGTGGCAAACAGCAATCTATGTGATAATTTAGTGTGATGGCCATGGCCCATTCCCAGGCGGTCTCCCATCCAAGTACTAACCAGGCCCGACCCTGCTTAGCTTCCGAGATCGGACGAGATTGGGCGTGTTCAGGGTGGTATGGCCGTAAGCGATGACATAGGCTCCAAATGAGCTATTTGAACATGCTCCTGTGTGGTTCTCTCAATTATAAACAGCATTTCACTTTCAATCAACAATGCGTCGCTCAAGAAAACACCCGGATACGCAGTCAAGCTTAGTTTTACAGCCTATCTCTGCAGTCCATCATGCTCCACTCCTTTGCTCCGCTTCATGACAAGATCTCAGTCCTCCCGCTCTTTGTGCTTTTTTGACTTTTTCTTTCATTTATCTTGAAGGCTCATCTCCAAGTGTATTTGCATTGGTCCAAGCTAAAGACCTGGGGCCTTATGTATCAATACTTGCGTGGAACTCATACCAGAATCGAGCGTACGCAAGGTCCGTAACGCTGAAAAAAATCCGTATGTATCAATGTGTGCGGGCGCCGAAATCCACGTGTGTTTCCTCTATAAATCCCAATCAGCGTGGAATTGAGCGCAGATGTCGGAGTGACTGGGCCCGTCCCCGTTACGCCCTCCTATAAATATGCAGATTTATTTAAATAGGGTCTCCCTGTCCTCGCACGCAGACAAAATGACAAGAAAAACTAAATTTACGGCGTGCGAGGTGGAGGTTCTGGTGGCGGAGGTGGAGGAGCGACAGCGTGTTTTGTTTGGCAGCCTGTCCAGTGGCGTCAGTGCAAAACAAAAACGCACCCCCGCGGAGATTAAAAAAAAGTGGTCGGACCTCAAGGTGGAGGTCAAGCGGCGTACAGCTGTCCTCCGGAGGAGTACTGGCCAGACAGGTGGGGTTCCGGGGGAGGAGACCCTCACGCCGTTTGAGCAGCGGGTGGTGGTGATTATTATTATAGGGTAAGTGGCGTGTCACACAAATGTACACATGCTTTGTCATCCCACTGAGCAAAAGACGTATATTAGACGTCTAGTCTAAGTTTATACTTCATTTCAACGTCGGGATTCAGTCGATTTTTAGACATGATTTATACTTCGCCCTTAACTTCATTTTTCGATAACTTTTTATGCAATAAACAACTGTTATGTGCATAACTGACCTCTAAATACTGGATTACATTACCTATGATACCGTGGAGAGAGATGTAAACGCAACAGATACACAGAAGCAGGAATTGAAATGAACCAATATTTTTATTGTGTCACAGAAATCAATATGTCGGTCGTGTCGCCGGCTTGCGGAACCCCGGCCCACGGCAGCCCGTCCGCCGGCTCGGAGTCGTCGGCCAGGACCAGCGGCATTCAGGCCACCCCGGCCCCCGGCCCCCGGCCCCTGCACCAGCACCAGCATCAGCACCAGCGCGCCGACAAGCGGTGGAGCGTCCACCAGCCGCGTCGTTTCCGCTGGACCACCCGGACGCAGTGGAAGGGTCCTAGCGAAGGGGGTCCTGCAATCGCAGGAAGAAATCATCAGGGGAATCGCGGGGATCAACGAGCGGCTGGACCGGCTCGTAAATGTCCTCGAGCGTCTGGTGGAGAAAATAAATTAATTTGGCTCATTGAACTGTGTATTCACTTCTTACCCATTCACACTGTGGCGATGAGATTCTCCCGCGCGAGGACGGCGGCCCGGCAGGGATCAGCTCGCATCCCTCAGTCTGCTGCTGGTTCGTCATGTGGGGCGACGTGCTGCTCGGCCACGGGGATGTGGTGCACGCTTGTCACATAGTGAGTCACCAAACATCGCCACACAGCGTCGCCAAAGTGCGAATCACAGTCAACGCAAGTATCAGCTCAACGCCAATTTCTACACCACCTCCTGACTTTGCGTTGATTAGCGCTGGAACCGACGCTCGTTTTGCGATGATAAATCTGGACGTGTGCGCCGATTTTGGCGTACGCAAGGTTTTCTTGCGCCGCAAGCGTTGATACATAAGGCCCAAGGTTCCCCAAAGACCCATATCCTAGCCCCTTGGAGAGAGAACACGGCACAAGATACAAGAAAAGAAAAGCTTACAGCACCTGGTATTCCCAGGCGGTCTCCCATCCAAGTACTAACCAGGCCCGACCCTGCTTAGCTTCCGAGATCGGGCGTGTTCAGGGTGGTATGGCCGTAAGCGATGACACAGGCTCCAAATGAGCTATTTGAACATGCTCCTGTGTGGTTCTCTCAATTATAATCAGCATTTCACTTTCAATGATGTTACGGCTGTGTGTTTGTTTTTGCATGTGTTTTTCCCCTTTTGTCTCTCCATAGCTGCCCAGGTGAAATCACTTGAGTGACAATCAGACTCACCTGGTGCTGGGAGTCTAAAAGCCCAGAGCTGCCTGCAGTCTGGAGAGGCATTTGGTGGGGAACTGCTGCCCTACTGCTTCTCATTTGTGTTGTGGGTGCTTTGTGTCTAGTTTGCAATTTTGTCACAATAAATCACGTGTTAAACTTTTGAAGGTGTTTTGTTAATTTAATGGGTACAAATTTGAGGATAGTTGTTCGCCCTATAGGGCCGCCTAAGGGTGGGGCGTAACAATTGGGGGCTCGTCCGGGATCGAACATCCATGAGGTTCTTTGAAGTTGTTTTTTTTCCTCTTGTAACTAGTGACCATAGTTTGGGTTTTTTAGTCTTCTGTTTCTGTCACGATCATTAGTAGTTGCTTTTATTTGTAACTTCTGAGCACCCTGATTATTTAGTCGCCGGGCAGGGAAGAGCTTGCCACTTTTTTATTTTGCCTTTCTTATTTTTGGTGGTAATCCTGAGGAGGGGGCACACTTAGGTGATGCCTCGAGCTCGGCAAGCCACTGAAGACTAGTTAGGTAAGTTAGACATCTTGTCAAGTAGGTAGGGGTTGGGGTGACTCATTTTGCTCTGAAATTGTTTTGGTCTATAGTACTGTTTTTTTTTTTTTGTGTGTGTTTCAGAAGACTACCCATTTTTGCTTGGTCACTCTGGGTGATAACAATTAGGATGTTGTGTGCAGTAACTTGTGTTGTGTGACCATTCGTTGGTGGTAACTGCTCTCCACATTTGGTGGGTCACGTGTGAGTTGCATCTTAGGTGTAAGGTGGCAACAGTTGTGTAGTGGTGACTACTGTGTGACCATTTTGTGTAGTGGTTTGCAGTCCACATTTGGTGGGTCACTTGTGTGTTACTGTTTCGTATACCTAATTGTATGTTCCGTTCGTTTGGCTTGTTGCCAGCCTTCTCACAATAACTTGTGTGTCTTTTTGAAGACTTGTGTCCATTTGTGTTGTGGTGGTGGCAGTCACCTTTTGTTGGATCTCTGTGTGCTGTTTGTGAATGACAGCAGTGTTGTAGTTTTACTACTTTTGTTGATCCGTTTGTGTGTGTGACTGTTCACTCCACTTTAGTGTTGGACATCTGTTACTGTGTGTGGTACTGGCAAATTTAGTGTTTTGCTCTTTGTGTTTGTGTTAACCTCATGGTAGTAGCCATTTTGCTTTGTGGGAGTGGCACCCACTTAATTGGCTGCTTTTGGGATGGATGCTTTTGAATTTGGTTGCAGCATCTTTCTTGGCCCTAATTTAAGATTGTGCTCCTCAAGACCCATTTTGCACCTTTTTGTCAGCAGTGATTGTCTCCAGTTGGTAAATAGTGAAGTGTTTTTTTTAAGCTTGTGCAGTGGTGTGTGTTTTGTAACACACAGCCTTGGTGAGTAACACCCATTTAGTTAGTTTCTTGTGTTAATATAGTTGACACATTGCACTTGAATTCAATGAATAAATATTTGTATTATTTTGGATTTATGGTGTGCAATTGTGGTGTTTATTTTTGCAGTACAAATGATTTATTCATTGTTTTAAGGGTGGGGGTGTTACGGCTGTGTGTTTGTTTTTGCATGTGTTTTTCCCCTTTTGTTTCTCCATAGCTGCCCAGGTGAAATCACTTGAGTGACAATCAGACTCACCTGGTGCTGGGAGTCTAAAAGCCCAGGGGCCTCATGTATCAACACTTGCGTGGAACTCATACCAGAAACGAGCGCACGCAAGGTCCGTCACGCTGAAAAAAATCCGTATGTATCAATGTGTGCGGGCGCCGAAATCCACGTGTGTTTCCTTGATAAATCCCAATCAGCGTGGAATTGAGCGCAGATGTCGGAGTGACTGGGCCCGTCCCCGTTACGCCCTCCTATAAATATGCAGATTTATTTAAATAGGGTCTCCCTGTCCTCGCACGCAGACAAAATGACAAGAAAAACTACATTTACGGCGTGCGAGGTGGAGGAGCGACAGCGTGTTTTGTTTGGCAGCCTGTCCAGTGGTGCCAGTGCAAAACGAAAACGCTTGGAGTGGGAGAAAGTTTGCGAGAGGGTGAATGCGGTGGGTTCCGAGACACGCACCCCCGCGGAGATTAAAAAAAAGTGGTCGGACCTCAAGGTGGAGGTCAAGCGGCGTACAGCTGCCCTCCGGAGGAATACCGGCCAGACAGGTGGGGGTCCGGGGGAGGAGACCCTCACACCGTTTGAGCAGCGGGTGGTGGCGATTATTATTATAGGGTAAGTGGCGTGTCACACAAATGTCCACATGCTTTGTCATCCCACTGAGCAAAAGACGTATGTTAGACGTCTAGTCTAAGTTTATACTTCATTTCAACGTCGGGATTCAGTCTATTTTTAGACGTGATTTATACTTCGCCCTTAAATTCATTTTTCGATAACTTTTTATGCAATAAACAACTGTAATGTGCATAACTGACCTCGAAATACTGGATTACATTACCTATGATACCGTGGAGAGAGATGTAAACGCAACAGATACACAGAAGCAGGAATTGAAATGAACTAATATTTTTATTGTGTCACAGAAATTAATGTGTCGGCCTTGTCGCCGGCTTGCGGAACCCTGGCCCGCGGCAGCCCGTCCGCCGGCTCGAAGTCGTCGGCCAGGACCAGCGGCATTCGGGCCACCCCGGCCCCCGGCCCCAGCACCAGCATCAGCACCAGCGCGCCGACAAGCGGTGGAGCGTCCACCAGCCGCGGCGCTTCCGCTGGACCACCCGGACGCAGTGGAAGGGTCCTCGCGGAGGGGGTCCTGCAATCGCAGGAAGAAATCATCAGGGGGATCGCGGGGATCAACGAGCGGCTGGACCGGCTCGTAAATTTCCTCGAGCGTCTGGTGGAGAAAATAAATTAATTTGGCTCATTGAACTGTGTATTCACTTCTTACCCATTCACACTGTGGCGATGAGATTCTCCCGCGCGAGGACGGCGGCCCGGCAGGGATCAGCTCGCATCCCTCTGTCTGCTGCTGGTTCGTCATGTGGGGCGACGTGCTGCCCGGCCACGGGGATGTGGTGCACGCTTGTCACATAGTGAGTCACCAAACACCGCCACACAGCGTCGCCAAAGTGCGAATCACAGTCAACGCAAATATCCAGCTCAACGCCAATTTCTACACCACCTCCTGACTTTGCGTTGATTAGCGCTGGAACCGACGCTCGTTTCGCGATGATAAATCTGGACGTGTGCGCCGATTTTGGCGTACGCAAGGTTTTCTTGCGCCGCAAGCGTTGATACATGAGGCCCCAGAGCTGCCTGCAGTCTGGAGAGGCATTTGGTGGGGAACTGCTGCCCTGCTGCCTCTCATTTGTGTTGTGGGTGCTTTGTGTCTAGTTTGCAATTTTGTCACAATAAATCACGTGTTAAACTTTTGAAGGTGTTTTGTTAATTTGATGGGTACAAAGTTGAGGATAGTTGTTCGCCCCATAGGGCCGCCTAAGGGTGGGGCGTAACAATGAACAATGCGTCGCTCAAGAAAACACCCGGATACGCAGTCAAGCTTAGTTTTACAGCCTATCTCTGCAGTCCATCATGCTCCACTCCTTTGCTCCGCTTCATGACAAGATCTCAGTCCTCCCGCTCTTTGTGCTTTTTTGACTTTTTCTTTCATTTATCTTGAAGGCTCATCTCCAAGTGTATTTGCATTGGTCCAAGCTAAAGACCAGGCTCCCCAAAGACCCATATCCTAGCCTCTTGGAGAGAGAACACGGCACAAGATACAAGAAAAGAAAAGCTTACAGCACCTGGTATTCCCAGGCGGTCTCCCATCCAAGTACTAACCAGGCCCAACCCTGCTTAGCTTCCGAGATCGGACGAGATCGGGCGTGTTTTTTTTTTTTTATCTTTTATTATCAAAAATATATTCACAAAATTCCATCTTTACAAATCACAGTCAAAGTCAACAATAAAAATAAACAACAAAAAAGAAAAACCTTTAGAAAAAAAACATAAATTATATGAACCCAAACAGTCTGCAAATTAAAAAATGAGCTTCATATATTAAGTGTGATCTTGTTTTGATGTACTGTAAAAAAAGTGTGTCCAGTGTTCAAAAGCTGATTGAAAGTGTCCGGGATGGCGAAGAAGCAGTTTTTCAGATGGTTCAGAAATAGGGTTTTGAAGAAAGGAAGCAGTGACAGTGT